GAGATGCAAAGGTTCACCCAAAAAATTGTCCAAATGATGAAGGATAAGAAGTTGTTTGAGTCTCAAGGTGGTCATATCATCATCTCCCAGGTGTGGCCTTTTGTGTTTCTTTGCCTTTTTATATTTGTTGTGTTACAGTGATTTTTCCATAATAAAGTTTATATTTTTGTCTGAATTTGTATATGATGCAGCAGAATAAAATAGATATCGTTCTAGAATGGGTGTTTCCATAATAAAGTTTGCAAGCTACTCCTCAGATTCTTCACAAATCCAATTAATGGTATCATCTCTCTCTTATTTTGGTTTCTATGAATGGGTGTTTTCTATAGGTTTATTTTCTCTGGTTTATCTTTATTTGGGTTTAGGAAATGGTTCTTTTAATGCCTTTGGTTCAATTCTAAGCATGATTTACTTTCGGTACATTGTTTGGTTGCTGAGAATTTAAAGAAAAAAAGGGAAAAACAAATAGGGAAAATATATTAAGAGCCATGAATTAGTAACCCAATTGTTAATGCAACCTGTGCTATTGTTCCTAAACCATGGGTCTCCAATTAATGACTATGTTTGGTTATATTTGGGTGGTAGTGGGCTGCCAAAGGAAAAGTTCTTGTTACATTTTTCTTTCTCTCTCTCTCTCTGCTCAAATAAATTGTGCACAATTTTAGTTTGAGTATCATTTTAGTTTTCCCTTATTTTGCTTTAAAGTTAATGATTTTGGTTGTGATTTTTGAAATGGATTTGATGGGTTTTGAAATGGGTTTGAATCTTTAGTTCTTGAGTATCATTTTAGTTTTCCCTACTTGACATGATTCTCACCACGGTAATCTCTTTTTCTTTCTTCTCTGTTTTGTTACCCGGAAAAGGTGCAAGATAAAAACATTTGAATGTATTAACTATAAGACCATTACACGGTTGGTACACAGTTGGTCCAATTGATTCAGGGTGCTAGCATATGCTTAAATGAATTTTATTTGTGACATGGTACTAGACGTGCTCTTGTTATACCGATGGAGCAATGAGTGATTTGATTGTTTCATTAAACATCATTTTCTTGAGTAGAAGGTTGGAATATGATGTTGGGAATGTTTACTCCAAATCTCGATAGAGCCTGGAACTGGTTGTTCCCTTTTAAAAACCTTCTTTTTGTGCTTCCCTCCCTGCTACCTACATAGGAATCCAGATGTGACTTTTCTTATAGCCAGTTTGGTACAGGGAAAGCTCCTCTGCCCTTTCCTCTTTGCACTCAACTGATTTGTCATATAGGTTGGGCGTACAGGGGGTTATAATGGGGGTCATGGGGCCTTCCAATTTTTTGAGAGCAAAACCATGTAGAAATGAGATACCACTTTAATTTTTAGGACATGATTGATTTGTAAACACTGTTATAGGCAAGTTTATTGGTAACTGTTTGTGACAAAAAAAAATAAACTATTGTATACCATCTCAGCAATTTTGACCTTTTGCTTACATTGTTGCTTTTGAAATAGTATAATAGCTTCAATAAAGTAGTTATATTTTCATACATAGTATTGCTTATTAGGGGATGATTTATAACTGCTACGATGCATATGAATAGAGTGGAAAGAGAGCACCACTTATACACTACCTTTGAATATTTTGACGAGGACAAGAGCGGGTAAGCTTCTCTCTCAAATCTATTGTTATCTTATTATGTTACACATCATTACAGCAATTTTTGTTCCCATTTTTGCCTAAATGGGCGATGAGAAAACAATAAAGGAGATTATTGCAGAAGTTGACACAGACAACGTATGGTTGCTCCCCTTTGTTAATGTAATGCTTATCTAGCCTTTTTTATTCTCCTCATACATAGAAATTTCATATCGAACAAATGTGGTACTTCATGTCCATGTTTCTTTGTCATCCAACAACTACACTCGAACTAGCGGACATGTTATTTTTCAAAAATGCAAGACACGACACACTTGTGGCATGTTAAAATTTCATATTTTTACAAATTTATTATATATCATATATATGAATGTTTATATATTTTGTAACTTAAAACATCAAGATATATTCTATGTTACAATTACATTCTAAAGAATGAAAAACAATTATAGAAATTGTAATACACATGTTATATGCATCTTATAAATATTTCAAAAAATATTTAGAAGAACGCATAAATTGTGTTATGAAGAATGCAGAACATTGTTAATAAGAAAAAGTTATCACTTATGACGTGTTCAGAGGGTTTAAGAAGTATCGCTGAAGTATCATGATCACGATCCTCTTCCTCTGCTGAAGTGTCCGTTCCTTTTAGACTATAAACGCACTGTCTTTTGATTCCAAAACTCATGATGAATTGGCACTTCGAAAATGTATACTTTAATTCTTTTGCAGGATGGAAAAATTAACTACGATGAGTTTGTCGCCATGATGAGAAAAGGCAATCCGAAGATGGTCCCAAACAGACATCGTAGATAAGATTTTTCAACGTTACATTGGCATGTTTTTCCAGCTCGAAGACATGATTTGTTGGTCTAACCAGGACGTGTTACAACTGGGATTGAAAAATGTTCTCAGTTTGGCTACCTGGAATCACAACGACAGTTCTTACTTTCTAGACTGGTTTGTGGTTTGTCTATACCTGCCTTTACACACAGAAATGAGTTAGATTGTGATCATTTTGCTACATAATTATGTACTACCAGAATGTGTGATTATTTACTCTCTACTTGTTTCCAAATTAAGCACAAGGGCATTTGTCATTTATAGATTGGACTTTTTTCTCTCTCTCTCTCTCCTCTCTCTCTCTCTCTCTCTCTCTCTCTCTCTCTCTCTCTCTCTCTCTCTCAGTTATGAGCTTCCTTAACTTCTATCTTTCTTTTTTTTTCTTTTATTTATATATTTTTTGAGAACTGTCTACCATGTTTTACAATGCAAAGGACCATGAGCAATTTGCGTGACTCATATACCATATTAGAAAAACTATTCAAGCCCAGCACATAATCCGATTTATGTGCATTTAGAAATTTTCAAAATTATTTAATGTCTTGAGACTAGTCATTTGGGAATATTATTTAGAGTTTTAATCTAATTTTATTCCGACTTAGAGCTTGAGAAAAATATTGGTTGTAGCCGTGTCACAATCAACCAGATGAGTTGAATGAGAGTGAACTTAAGATGTTCTTGTAATCAAATTATGTATAATGCATTCACATCCATATATTGACTCAAATTAAAATTTCGGTAAAAAAATATTCAAAATCCATTTGAACTTTTTGTTTCATATTCATATAAGATTGAGTTTTATTCGTTTTTTTCTCAAATGAAAAAAGATTTAATTTAAATAGTGACTCAAACATCCAACAGTTTGGTAAATAACACTGTTAAAATATGATGAGATTTTTTTTTTTTTTTTTAAAATCTAAATAAAAATTAAAGACTGTTTGATTTTGAGATTTTAAAAATGATTTTTAATTTTTTTTTGTTTTTAGTGAAATTTTTAATTTTTTAAAAAAAAACTTGTTTCTTAACTTATATGGACTTAAAAAATAAAATATTTGTAAAGAAATATTTTTAAAAAATTGTATTTAGTGATTTTTTAAAATTATGTTCATGTTTTTTTTTACTTTTTACGTGTATTTAAATTAAATAAATTTTAAAAGTAAAAAAAAAATATTTAAAATTGTTCAAAAAGGCCACTAAATTATGTAATAGCGTAGCAATCAATTTCCAAACAGAATAAAAGTTTACCATTAGAATTTTTATTGAAATATTTACTTAAATCAGTGCGTAAAAACTTCAATCATGATTGGAGGATATAATTTATATGTATTATAGAACTTTTTTAAAAAAAATCAAACTATTTTAGCTTAATTTGTGATTTTTTTTTTATTAAAACTCATTTAAAATTGACTTGAATGATAAACAAACTAAACTTTTAATATATTTTTTAAGCTCGTTAAGTTTTAATTGTTCGGGAAATTTTAAATAAATTATGTTTTATTTCAATTTTTCTATTTTGTTTTTGGTGACTTTTTTATTTAAAATTATGTCAATTTTTTATTTTTCTAGTCTACCTTGTCTAGATGAATTTAAAGGTAAAATTATTTTTTTTAAAATCAAAATAAGGAAATTTTTTTTATCTCTCTTTTTTGGATATTTAAAAAAAAAAAAATAGTTCATCGAGTAGAATCTGGAATTTTTTTTATTTTTTTTAAAAAGTTTTTTGGGTAATAAAAAAAATAAAAAAGGCTCAATAAAAAAAAAAAAAAAAAAAAAAAAGAATAAAAAAGTCAAAAAAATAAACTGCAAACCCCACTAAACTGAAATGTCAACTATAAAGCTGAGAGAGAGGGAATGGGACATAAATGATTTACAAAATTTTGAAAAGTTTTAAGAACAACGATGAATGCAGTCTAAACTTGTAGACATAATTGACGATAAAAAAAAGTATACAAAAACAGCATTAATTCCCTATACAAAATCTAAACTGGTAAAAGTTCTACCAACAAATGATATTGTCAAAATAAACCAATCAAATATCACAATCAACTAAAGAAAAAAACCATAATAATAGACATAAATGCAAAAATAAAAGAATAAAAATTTAAAACACTCAAGTTGCTATTGGCCTTCTACCAGATAATACCTCTGAGAGCATTTCCAGTTTCCTTGAGATTTCTGCTCAACCTGTTCACGTTAGCAAAGAACCCTACCAAATCTTGCATGTATGGCATCAACAACCGCCTCCGATCTCCCTCCTGCGCCACCGTCACTCCTTCTCCGGCCACCGTCGGCTTCACTTTTCTGGCAACTTTTACTTTTGTTGCTCTCTTGGAAGCTTTCTTGTTGTTCTTCTTCTTCGAATTGGTATTCGAAGGAACGAGAAAGACGAAGGTGTCCTTGCCGTCGCTGTTACTCCGGTACAGAAGATCGCGAAACTTCCACCGCTTTGATGATCCCATCGAGTTGCTCTTCTTACATATCTCTGGCAACTCTGCCACCGCAGACGTATCAAATTTCGATTTTCAGATGCAGTAGGTTCCTACTGGAACTCCATTGAGCTTGTCGGCTTCGGAGGAGGAGCACGAAGAAGGATCGCGGTCCTCGCTCATGAGCTTCGCTAAAGGAATCCGAATCGGCGACGGAGTAGGAGGCTTAGAAGAATTCACTTCACCTTTACAATTTTCAACATCAGAAAACAACAAATCTCTGCCGAAAATAGGGAAAACAGGCCTGATCTGGCCGTTGTAGAAGATCTCATGTCAACTATAAAGCTGAGAGAGAGGGAAAGGGACATGAATGATTTAGGAAATTTTGAAAAGTTTTAAGAACGGCGATGAATGTAGTCTAAACTTTTAGATATAATTGACGACAAAAAAAATACATAAAAGCAGCACTAATTCCCTATACAAAATCTAAACTGGTAAAAGTTCTACCAACAAATGATATTGTCAAAATAAACCAATCAAATATCACAATCAACTAAAGAAAAAAACCATAATAATAGACATAAATGCAAAAATAAAAGAATAAAAATTTAGAACACTCAAGTTGCTATTGATTGTCTTTCTACCAGATAATACCTTTGAGAGCATTTCCAATTTCCTTGAGATTTTTGCTCAACCTGTTCACGTTAGCAAAGAACCCTACCAAATCTTGCATGTATGGCATCAACAACCGCCTCCGATCTCCCTCCTGCGCCACCGCCACTTCTCCTCTAGCCATCGTCGGCTTCACTTTTCTGGCAACTTTTACTTTTGTTGCTCTCTTGGAGGCTTTCTTGTTGTTCTTTTTCTTCGAATTGGTATTCGAAGGAACGAGAAAGACGAAGGTGTCCTTGCCATCGCTGTTGCTCCGGTAGAGAAGATCGTGAAACTTCCACCGCTTTGATGATCCCATCGAGTTGCTCTTCTTACATCTCTCCGGCGACTCTGCCACTGCAGATGTATCAAATTTTGATTTCCAGATGCAGTAGGTTCCTACTGGAACTCCATTGAGCTCATCGGCTTCGAAGGAGGAGCACGAAGGAGGATCACGGTCCTCGCTCATGAGCTTCGCTAAAGGAATCTGAATCGGCGACGGAGTAGGAGGCTTAGAAGAATTCATTTCACCTTTACAATTTTCAACATCAGAAAACAACAAATCTCTGCCGAAAATAGGGAAAACAGATCTGATCTGGCCATTGTAGAAGATCTTATTGGCAGAGGTGGGATCTTCACACACACAAGGGAACTCAAAATCATCATCATCATCTTCGTAGCTCTTTGTTTCTTCTTCTTCTTGGACCCCTAGTTGTTCCTCGATCAGGATTTCATAAACACAGTAGTCTTCTTCCAATTTAGAAATTCGATCTTGCAGCCTCTCCTTTTCTGTTAGCATTTGATCAATCTCGTGGTTTTTACTTCTTAGCTGCTCTTCCAAATCACTATTCTGGTTTCGTAGAGAGTCCACTTCTCGTTCCAGGTCTTTCATCTGTACCATAAGACCCTCTTTCTCTTCGAGCATCTTCCGTTGATCAGCAATATTTTTTTCTGACTCCTCTTCCAGAGTTCCTATCTGAACAAGGTATTCTGACATTTCTGGAATTTTCTTCTCCAGTTGAGATTCAAATTCAATTTTCTAGTTATTTAGGGTCTCTAGCTCTTGTTACTTTTCATTGACCTTGTCCAGTAGGTCCTTGACTTGACCCGATGCTTCATTGCTATCACGTACCGATTGTTCTTCCAATTTGTTTTTTTTGGGTCTATAAGGTTTCCACATCCAGTTGCAGATTGTTAATCCATGTCGTCATATCCTCAATTTGAGACAACGAATCTTTCCCTTCTCCTCAAGTTTCTTCAGAAGACTAGAAAGCTCATCAACTTTCTGTTTTTCAATCTCTCCTTTCTGGGTATGCAAAGAATCTAGCTTAAGTTCTAAACCCCTCATTCGAGCTGATGTTTCACTCTTATGGGTCTTATGTATCTCGGTGTGACTCGCAAGTGCCCTTTCTCTCTCACCCAATTTCTCTCTCAGCTGGCTAGATTCGGTGACAAGTTCTTATAAAAGCTTTGAATTCTCACCATTCAACGTTTCAGCTTCCATCTTTAAATCACTAATCATCTTCTCTGCTTCCTTCTCTTCAGTAGTTTCTGTCAACTTCCTCTTCAAGTCAGCCACTCCTAGATGCGCACTTTGAAGTTCTTGCTTAATGTCATCTATCACCTTCTGAAACTCATTTTGCGATTTTCCATTTTACTACTCTTTTCCTTTGAAGAATAATCTGAATCTGAGTCCAAGCCGGAGGAAGAAAAAGAAAAAGAATAATCTGTATTCCCATCTTTTTCATGCTCATCTTCTTCTTTGATAAGGTTCAAGGTCTTCTAAACTTTGTCCTCAATCTCTGCAATGAGTAGGAAATTTCTGTTTTAATACTGGGCATCTACTTTAAGATCCATTGTTTACAGAAAAAAATTGCTGAACATAAAGATGAAGCTATTTCAAAAGGAAATAAATGTCTATAATTGTTCATTCAGATTGAGGATTTTTCTTTTTTACTTTTTGAGTATCCAAGAAACAAGTCGAAGTTACTTAACTCAAGTTACAAATTTTATTTAACCAAACAATAAAAGACTATACAACTACAAATCTTGACAAATGCCATATATACTTCATCAATTTATTGCAGGTTCATATTAAAATGAAGGATTCATTTTTTATTTATTTTTTGGTATGTGTGATGCTAAATCAGTAAATCGCAATCATTGTATAATTTTTGATTTACCAAAAATGATTATTAACTACATTGTGGGCCCACTAATTGAAAATAAATAATTTATCAAAATGATTGTTAATGATTATAACGTTGCTATCGTATCATTCTGGTAAAAATTTGTATAAAATTAATGTAATTTTTTTCCCCCCATATAATTAACAAGATTCACAAATCTTTAAAAAAAAAAAATCACATTTCACAAACCAAGGTTCAAAACCATTATAATCAACTAAAACTCATTAAATAATAATTAACAACATTCTAAAAACAAAAATAATTAGGAACACACTGTATGAACACACAATAATATAATTTTTTTATTTTTTTATTTTTTAAAGTCTTTCAAGCACATGAAATATTGATAGAAGTGGTGGCAGTGAACTGCTCAGAGGCTGACTTCCTTATCACTGTTGCCGCTGCCACCGACTTAAACTTCGACGAAATCCCGCCGCCGCTGCCACTCTCCGGCACTTCTAGAATGGTTGAAAGCAGGCCCGACCCAATGAAAACAGCAAAAAATGGGTCTTGCGATCTTGCTTTTGTTTGTTTAGGGCTGAAAATGGATTGAAGAAGCCTGTGAAACAACCGAGAAAATTTTGAGGATTTTTTGGAGATGGATTGTGGTAGTTGTTGACAAAAAAGAACTTTCTGATCCATTATTTGTTTGTTTATTGGGAAAAAAGACAGAGATGTAGAGATGGTTACACAACTTTAGAGAGAGAAGAAAAGTTTCTTCGTTTTTATCCTAAAAAGTAAGTTCATTTTTTCCATATAAAGTTAAGGTATCAATGTGAAAAATTTTAACATTTCCATTTCAATTTTTTTTCCTTCACTAGTATAGTAACTCTCTCTCTTTCTCTCTAAGTTGAGGTATCAATGTGAAAATTTTTTTCATTTCCATTTTAATTTCATTTCCTTCACTAATATCTCTCTCTCTCTTAGAGTGTGCGTGTGTGTGTCTCTAGCACTTCTTAAACTACAAGTTCTCCATTGTAAACTTTTGGGTGATTTTTAATTGAATTAATGTTACACTCTGGTCTCTTGCATTTTTTATTAGTTCACTATAGTCCTTTCACTATTAATTGTAACAATTAATTTCTTTACATTTCAAGTGAAGTTACAATGACGTGGAATGTTGATTTTTTATTTTTTTTTATTATGAAAAGATGTGTAAAAAAATAAAGAGAGTAATTTAACAACTTATAATAGCGCTAGTGTATACCCATGCCTAAAAACACAATGCAAATAATGATGAAATCAAAATATAATTGAATATAAAATTACTAGGATAAAATATAATTTATCCCATTTCTTGCTAAAAATTTGAAGTCAAAATATGAATCAAGGTCAAGTTAATTTTGAAAAGATTTTTTTGTTTTTTTAAAATTTGAAAATTTGTTAAGTTGTATATTTTGAAAATAAACATTTCCTAATCAACTATTCAAAGTACGTCAAGTAACTCAATCATAAACATTTTGATTTTATCAACAAACTTTATGACTCTAAAATATAAACTTCATATCAACACAAAAATTAAAAATAAAAACATCCTTGCTAAGCAAGTCAAGAAAAAAAATTTATAAACACAAAATAACACACACAAACCAAAGGAAGTGAAAAGAGATAAGTGGCATACTTTCAACAATATCATATAAGAAACGCTTCTCTTTTGAACTCTAAAATGGAAGAGGACAAACAACAGAGAAATAAGAAGAGGAATTAAAGTTGGAGTAAAAGCATAAAAAAGAGTTCAGAGACAATGAAATATTTTATAGTAATAAACACCAGAAAATCCTTGAACTCCTTGAACTAGCTATAAGAGAAGAAAATCACACCAGAGCAACCAATTATCATTTCCTATTGAAAATCACACATATATCTCAGCATAGAAGAAAAAATATTTAAAAGAAAAAAAGAGAGGAAAAAATCTCAAATAATCTCTAAAAATTTGTCTAGTGATTATGCTACTAATAAACTTATGTATTTTTTTAGAAGCCAAGATTTTTCAGAAGCCAAGTAGAACTCAAAGGCCAGAAAGCTGCCATTATCATCTTCGGAGACATTTCCTCATGAGACCTACAAAAGGTTCTATCAAATCAATAACCAAAATCAAGCATTGAAATCATCCCCTAATAATCAATTTAACAATCTACTTCACAATAAAGTTATAAATCATCCCCTAATAAGCAATACTATGTATGAAAATATAACTGCTTTATTGAAGCTATTATACTATTAAGCAAAATGTCAAAATTGCTGAGATGGTATACATTAGTGTATTTTTTTTTTTTTTTTCACAAACAGTTACCAATAAACTTGCCTATGAAAGTGTTTACAAATCAATCATGTCCTCCTAAAAATTAAAATTGTATCTCAACTCTACATGGTTTTGCTCTCAAAAAATTGGAAGGCCCCGTGACCCCCATTATAACCCCCTGTACACCCAGCCTATATGACAAATCAGTTGAGTGCAAGGAGGAAAGGGCAGAGGAGCTTCCCCTATACCAAGAAGTCACATCTGGATTCTTATGTAGGTAGCAGGGAGGGAAGCACAAAAAGAAGGTTTTTAAAAGGGAACAACCAGCTCCAGGCTCTATCTAGATTTGGAGTAAAGAACCTACAACCATTTCAAGCTTCTCAACAAATTTCTCTTAGGCACTGGTAAACAAAATCCCATATATATTGATGAAATGCCTACTTAACAAAAATCAAAGTAGACTAAAATGGAGAACACTAAGGCTATGTTTGGATCATGAATTTGGGTAGGGATTTGAAAAAGAAAAGGGAAAATCTAGGTGAAATTTGAGTGAAATATAGCTACATTTCACACATTTTCCCTTTCCCTTTCCCTTTCCTTTTCCAAATGCCTACCCAAATCAACAATCCAAACACAGCCTTGAACAATTTTATTAGCATCATAAGACCTATAACATTTCTGATCAATAAATAAATAAATAAGACCTATAACATTAATGATTATTTGGTCAAGGTTGATAATAGGAATGTGACATACATAGATCTAAAATTGAACCTTAGATTAAGATCAATTTACTAAGGCCACTTTGTTACATCTCTTTCTTAGTCCAGTACGAGGCAATAAGACATAAAATGATGAGTTATTTTTTTTATCACAAAGTTGAAAATAATTGTTTACCATTCAAATTTCATCAAAATTCTCCATGAGCACCATAAAAAATCATCTTGTGGTTCTGTTTGGGGGTACAAGATGAAACTTTGCCCTTTAAAAAAACCCTGCTCACACTGAATTAAGTGAACTTCAACATGTGTCCATGTGTTTATGTGCAAACATATTTATGATCAGACATGATTAAGAATATAAAATCAAGACAACTTACTGACACCCAAATGTTACAACAGTAATTCTTTTTTTGACTCAGCAATTAGAAGATATCATCAAACAAACTTAGTAATAAAATTGCAAACTTACTAATAAAATTGCTAACTTTGGTTGGACAAATCAGACAATAATTTCCTACTTTAGTTCTCGTGCAAATCAACACAGAGCAGAAATCAAAGTCATGACATCAGAGGAAATGCATAAAGAAGCTATTCCGACCAACAAAACTAACATCAAGAATGCACTTACGGTTTAATGTTGTAGAGGAACAATCTTCAGTTACAGGAGGATTTCCTTTCACAATTGAATCCACAGACTTGTTATCAACATGTTGGTGCACTTTGTCAAAGTCAAACTCAAGTTATCGTATTGCATGATTTCCAGTACAATATTTAACTCGAACAACAAATCAATCAAAAATCAAACTCGCAATCTTTTTTTTGTTTTGTTTTGTTTTTGGAAGATAAAACTGAATGAAAAAAAAGGGTTTATAGTTCCAGCTGCAACTTCAACCTAGTATAGACATGCAATCTACTATAGTATGATAAGATGGTGGGGAAAAATCTTGAAATTAATGAAGTGCAATGCAGCTCCCGTCCCTCCCTTGGCCCCCAAAAAAGGTTCATTTTAAAGAAGTATAACCATGCAATCAGGTTCTTCCACCTCTTGAAAGGACCTTCTGAGGGGTGAAAGAACCTTTTTTTAAATTGACAAGCAAAACCTTATCATTTTTATATATATATTTTTATGGTCAGGTGGAATTGATCCATCCTTGAACCGATTCTTTGTTTTTGAGAATCTTTTGAGTAGAGATTGTTTGTTCAGTTGTTTTTATTCCCTCATCTCATGTACATGGGTGGCACCTCCCTGTTGCTTTATTTATTTATAATGTCTTTTACTTATTAAAAACAGCATGCAATCAGAAACAATTTCCTTGTTTTTTACTAGATTAAATAAAGCAGTGAACTAAACTAAAAGTATGAGAGGATCATATTATTACCCCAGGTAGTTTGGTCACAGGCAGAGGCTCCCCCGTGAAACTTGACTCGTCAACTGCACTTCTACCATCTCTAACAATTCCATCACCTGGAACACAATCCTAAACAATGGAACGTGTGTCAGGCAATATACAGACTACACCACAAAATAAATCATGATTCTTTGTCACTGCAATATTTTCAATCAGAACATGCTAGAATTAGCAGCAGCTAGAACCTTTGTGTTGCATCCAAAGTGGAAATAGAACAAAAAAGCCAATGGCATGAAAAAGTAAGATAATTACAAAGTCAACCTTCAATAACCCACAAGGGCATATACCTTAGTGCAGATTCCATTAAAAGGGAACAAAAAAGGGAGGACTGATGTTAAATGGGAAAACAGTGAGACTTTACTCACTCCAGGTAATATGACAATTTGATCTCCAACAGAGAGACTATTACAAGGAACTTCAACAGTTGTTTGAGCTCAACTCTTCCGCATCACCCCCCTTAGGCCTAGGTGACCATTGATCAATCAAGTGTTACTAAGTTCGCCATTCATTGACTTCCACACAAACCCCAGAAACACACCGAATTCTGTGAATATCAATGAATTTGAAATATCTTATTTCAAATTCATTTTAAAATCCACCACATTATTTGGATAAATCAGTGATGCAACCGTGTATTTTTTAAGATTCAATTGAGAGAATAAAAAAAGGCAACATAAAATAGAACCAAAAAAACTACTTTCAAGAGAACAAGAAAGGTATCAATGTGACCAGATTTCATTCTGAATGAGCAAGGGCTCGAAGTGCAGACTGAGCACCTGGATCAGGTGTTTTTGTCTTGTTTCCACCAGTCGCACGGAGCTTAATATGAAGGGCATTGACGCCAAGTTCCAGTTCCATAAGAAAAGTAAATGTTACTAAAGAAAAGTAGCAGCATAAATTAAAATAATCCAAAATGCAACAAAGAATTGTCCAAACAACCAAACACAAGCATTGAAGTTTAAAAACTTCATCTATAAATTTCATTTAAAAGAATCATAAAAGTGAGTGATATAATTAAAAACAGTCAGGCCACAAAATAGGTTAAACATATCCAAGAATATATTGAAGAAGATGAAGAATTGTGGGGTTGTGAAGCGAAGATTGGTTGGAGATACAGGGGATTGAGGCCATTTTGTTGGGTTTCAGATCAGAGCAACCAACTTTATCAACAAACTTTATATCTATCTGCTCACTGTTTCGATTATTTGTTTGTATACAGAGAGTTTTTAAGGTATAATATAGCAACAATCAAAGTGGCGCAGCGGAAGCATTAACCAATAATGTTAAACTCTTTTGTTCTAAACTTCAGAACAGAGTTCATTCCAATTAAAAAAACAAAACAAAAAACTTCAGAAAAGAGAACTAGTTCTAAAAATTCATCAAAGTCAAGCCTCTGCACAATCATGAAAACAGAGCAGCAGTTTGTATCACATCCTTAAACTGTGACAGATACCATGAAAAATAGGACTATCAACTTCCACCACACCACATGAAATGCCTCTAGAAATTAAAAAGAATTATATCAGAATTTTGGAACATTATTCATCATTCTTAAAAACAAAAAAAATTGATACTTCAGATTGAAACAACAGAATTCAAGTTAATTGAAAAGGACTCAGTAGTCTTGAAATCAATCAAGTGTTGATTAATTTGGGAGGAAAGGTGACTGCTGACAATGGGTTTTTTTTTTTTTTTTTTGATGAATTAAAATGATGACCCATCTATTCTATTTTATTATATAAAGCATACAGTCTAATTTGTTTGTCATTATTTTGTATATGTTAGCAGATAGATTTTTGGGTAATCCATAGAGGCAGATCAGAAGGCATAGAGACAGAGTCCCCAAATTTGTATCATGTAAACACAAATAGGAATCATAAATCAAATTTATTTTCTAAAAGCATTACAAAAACCAATCAAACAGGCTAATGAGCAGTTCCAATATCAAAAAAATATAAAAAAATAAAGTCAAATTGTTCATCTGTTGGAAGTCAAATGAATATATCCTTATTTCTAATATTAAACACATATAAGGAAACAAAATCTCTTCAGTTTTCTTATTTTCATCTTCTTGTGTCCCAAACCCTAAAATCCTCATTCTTGCAGGAAAAACGAAGGCGGTTATATAAACATATATATATATAGGAACACATAGAATACACAAAGAAAGAGAGGTGGAGAGTGCTTACCAGGAAGAGAGACATCATCAATGAACAACAATCCTAAAAAAAACAAAAAAATCAAAATCAAAACCAAAAAAAAAAAAAAAAGGGAGAAAGGCAGAGATCAAAAATCCAACGTTTCATTCAAGCCAGAATAAGCTCCTTTTGCTTAGGATATACATGTTTATAAGTGAAATGCCTAGCAGTTTCAAGTGAAAATTATTTATTTTTTAGGATGGAATTTATTTCCTTAATGGCATGTTGATGGGTGATTAAAAGCTATTGGGATTGGGATTATTAATCCGTGGGCCTAATTATCCTATGTTTGTTTTAACATTTTGGTTTAGGAGATTAATCCAATGGATAATTAATCCAACAATTATGTTAGGATTATTAGTAATGGGGTAGGGATGAGATTATTATCCAGATGGATATTATCCAATTGGATAATGAATACACACAAGAAAATGAGCTATTTGAGTCCCATATTTGTGACAGAAACATTTGCTGACTCAAAAATGTGTTCATTAGCGTCGGCAAAGTAGGACCGTCTCAAAAAAATTACTTAGTGTTATTAAATTTTTTTGGAGGGGGGGTCGGCAGACGTATGCCGTCACAAAAAAAATTTTATTTGCGTGCCACATTTTTACCGGTCGAAACAAAATTAATTTAATTTTTTTTTCCACTTTTTTGGCTCCAAAAACACATCGCGCGCCATTTTTTTCGCGCCATTTCAGGTCACTTTGCGTCGGTATTCTGTGCCGTCACAAAAAGTTAATTTGAAAAATTAAACACATAGTTTCTAGAACCTAAAATATATACCTTCCTCTTATTTTTTTTTTCCTTTTCTCTTTTTGCCCTAAAGTCAATCTTCGTTTCATCACTACAAACACCACTGATTTTCTCCTCTCCACTGGCACCGCTGATTCTCCTCTCACCGGCACCGCTGTTTCCTCTCCACCGGCACCGCGATTCTTCCATCCCACCGGGCACCGCGGATCTCCATCTTCCACCGGCACCACCGACCTCTCCTTCCCCTCACCAACACCACCGACTATCCTCTGCATGGTAGTGCTATCTCTCTCTCTCTCTCTCTCTCTCTATATAATATATATATATATATATGTATATATATATATCAGTCTCTTGTAAGAATTGAAAAACTAGATGGATTTTGAGTGTTTTGATTTGTTTTGTTTTTCTTTTGCAACCCTCGTATAATTCGAGGCTTGTGCTTGATTTTTGTTCTTTATATGATTTTGACGTGTTTGGAATGAATACTATATGTATATATATATATATATATATCCAGTCTCTGTAAGATTTAGGTTTGATTTGTGTTCCATCTCCACCCCTCTTTCACCGCCGATTCTCCATTTCGCCTGTTTTTCACCGAATGGGTTTGGCTTGACAATGTAACCAAAAATGTTCTCTGTTTTTGAGCTTTTTATGTATGAGGGATTAATGGTGTTGTAATCTACTAGCAGTAATTGGGTAATATTGTGTTGTCCTCACTAAGAAATTATAGAAGTTAGTTTTCCATTTATGTTCTTGACATTGTTCCCATTTAGTTTAGTAGTAATTTTTATGAAAAAAAAAAAAAAAAAACTTGAAAACATTGTTGTAGTTGCAAGTCATTGATTGAACTTGCCTGAGGAGGTGCATGTTAAATGTTTGGAGTCGATATTCATGCATGATCCACAATCAGATTTCCTTCCATTGGGAGTGCGGCCCTTGTAGAACCTTAGGGTCTTTCTATCCCTATTATTCTGTTCTTTGAAAGAACAGCCTTGTTCTTTGAAAGCACAGCCTTGTCTTTCTCATCCACTCACTTTGTTCTCATATCCCATCTACACCTATCTGTATTCACATAATCATAATTAATCAAACCTAAGTACTACATGGTAATTTTGGTTGGTCAATTGGTCTAAGTAATAGGAAAAAATTTGAAGAAAGCCAATTTACCTTGATGTCCATGGTTCAATTCTGTAGAGATCAATGTCAACAATGACATCTAAATCAATTTTCAATGAGTTAATCTTTCGCTTGAGATAATATCCCAGAGTTCTTCCTCCGTTGGTGAAATCTAAAGCCAGGAGGGACACATGATTCCATCTCCATTGATTTTTCTACTAAATATAAAGACAAATATATTAGTGAGGAGAGAGAATATATATATATTATATATATATATATATATATATTATTATATATATGTTACACATACATAAGAAATAATATATATATGCAGCTAAATTTAACTTGATCATTTTAAAAAAAATGACTACTTTAATATAAAAACTATCACATCATATATATGATATATCATTCTCTGGTGAAGAATTTATATAACAAAAATTGTAAGAACATAAGGTGAAGAATTTATATAAAAAAATTGTAAGAATATAAGGATATGGTGAAATTGCACTGAGCTTTTGAGAACGGTCAAGAAAGTCATTAAGAAAAAAAAAACAAACACAAGGATATGGTTTGAAATATATCCAATTTCAGTGCCTATCTTTTTGACTGGAGGGACTTTTGATTAACAACAACAATTCTGCTAAAGTACTACTTCACTAACTCATGAAAATGGCATTTGTGAGGTTGGTGGACTAATGGCTTTGGGGGTTCATATATCTATAAATTTTTTAAAGTAAATGCTTTGGTTACCCACTTAATTCTTTCCACTCTAAATCCTTAGGTTCTCTATTTATATGTTGGAGGACAGTGATCATTGGCTCAAGAAGGATAATCCAGACGTATTTTTTCTTATAATAATTTGTTATTTAAAAATAAATTATATATTTTGTCATTATGTTAATATTATTTTTTAATTACAAATTATTATAATTTATCAAAAAAATTACGTAAATTAATCACAAAAATACATAATATATATCATTAAAAATGCATAAAAAGTGCATATTCTCCCATTTAATATCAGAATATTAAAAGATAGAGTTCGGAATGCAAGACATGTTTGTTTTGTATACGATGATCATGAATAGTGATGTACATTTTTGAACATCAGGTCATGATGATCTGTACCCATCAAAGGTCCTATATGTGTGATTCAACCGTGGTTTGTCATTGAAGAAATGGAAGACCAACAAGGTACCCACCAAACAAGATAGATATTATATGGCCTAAACATGGCCATTTGCCTCATGAAAGTACTTATAGGCAAGTTTATGAACATAGCCGAAAAGATTGACTTACATAGACACAAGCATCGCTTAATATATGAATATGTATGTTCCTTTCAGATGATAAAAATATTATTCCTAGACTATTTGCGTATGCTAGTTAAATAAATAAATAATTTATTATATATTGTGTGCCATTCAAATGATAAAAATATTATTCCTTAGACTTAAGGTCTTAATTTTAATCCTATACCCGCAAACATTAAGGGAAGCCTTTTTATTTTATTTTATTTTATTTTATCTTAAATTATAATTGTCCTGAATGGTGGTAAGTAAGTATGCTATTTATACAATTGTTTAGAATTCAACTCTTATGCCAATTTGCGAGGAGAAGTTTTTCATGAATTTCCTAATTCTAGCGTGGATCATCTATCTTGACCGAACTAGAGAGGGGATTAGTTAAGATTTGCATAAATTTTTTTCGGACATCCTTGTCATTAAACCAAAAAAAAAAAAAAAAATTGCTAAGCTCAAACAAAACATAGGCACTAATAGGGAAGCCCGTATAGATCACAAAGGTATGAGAGCATATAAGCAAACTTGGATGATGCAGTGAGCAAACAAGTGATAATCTCAAATTATTCATGAACTCTGAAACATTATTCATTGATTATCCATTTACTATATATGAATCAGTTCAAAACCAGAAATGGCTCTACAATATATATATATATATATACTGAAGGAATTCCCAATTAATTTCACGATTTATTTTTGTCCTTGGCTGAGTCTTATGCATAACTTCCTAATGGTCCAGTGCATAGGACCGCGGAGAACACCTTTGCCGATGTACGACATAAGGTAATGATTTGTATTAACAATTATATAAAAATTACTAAATGCTAACTCTTATCTGTTTGGCAATTTTAGATGATGACTGATGGAGAGAGCACTAACAAAATGAGTGTCTTCACGAAGACACGCATGAATAACCGATCCAGATGTGAAATTATTTTTGTATGGGCCTTGCATATTGGTTTAATATTTTTTTTAACTGTGCTATTTGTATACTAATATCTTTAAATATTAGGATGAGTATAATGAGCAACTCTCAATGATAGACGAGCCCCTCAGGACAGAAGAGGTACAAGATAAGGATTTCCAAACCTAGTAGGAAAGGATGGACACGGATATTGCAAGACTTATGGGATAGGTGTGCCTCGAAGTGCAGTGTACAAAAAAGATGTCAGTCCATCACAAGCATCCTCATCATCGACTGTTGAGGAGATCACTCAACAAGTACGCCAAACAGTTACTGAAGAGATCGAGCAAAGGCTGACGGTTGAGATTGAGCAAAGGTCACTGAGAAGTTGAAGGCAGAGTTCGAGCAAGTTAGAGCTTGGATGGACTTCATAAGGTCCCAAGGTGGCCTAAGTGTAATACAGGTGGAGTAAAAATGACTAACTGAATAACTTGGGCAATTGTTTGTTTTTTTCTTTT